ATGACTGATGACGATGGGTCACAACTGAAAATTGCTCTGTCTCTGGTGGGTAAACTTCTCACAAAGAAGGCTTTTAATGTCGAGGCAATGAAGAGGGTCCTGAAAAACCTTTGGCGAATTGACGACAATGTAGCAATCAGGTATGTCGGTACCAATTTGTTTGTTTTTCAATTCTTTAATGCTGATGATAGGAAGAAAGTACTAGATGGTATGCCTTGGTCTTTCGATAATCAAACACTATTATTGAAGGAGATTAATGCTAATGAACAACCTTCGAAATTTCCTTTGATTCTTGCCTGTTTTGGATTCGTATTCTTGATGTCCCTTTTGGCAAACACTCTGTTTGGTTTGCTAAAGCTGTAGGAGATAGCATTGGTGAATTTTTGGAAGTAGATGAATCTGAACCTCTTGGTTAGGATGAATATATAAGGGTTAAGGTGTTAGTGAATATCAATAAACCTCTCCGTAGAGGTATGAAGATCGTTGTTGATTCGGGGCATACTAAATGGATAGGCTTTAAGTATGAACGCCTTGGGGATTTTTGTTATTTTTGTGGTCGAATCGGTCACAATGATAAGGATTGTGAGGAGAAGGACATGTGTAGTGATGAATCGCCAATTGTTTTCTAATATGGTTCGTTTTTAACAGCTTCCCCCCACCGTCCGAAGGTTACTATTGTTGAAAGGGAGAAGGAGAAGAAATGGATTAAGAGCTTGTCCAAGAAAGTGAGAGTGCCAATATCAGATTACAATGACCCCTCTGCTATTCGACTTGGCCCCCCTGGTGCTGCAAGAAAGTTGTTGTTTTCTTCACCCAATTTATGCTTAGCAACTACTCCAAAACCTCGTGCTATTTCTCTAATTGCCGTGGTTGATGACGTTAATGGGAAGGTGGTGTTACGGCCTTCTATGGTACAAAAGGAGAGAGTTTTGACTGCTGATGCCGAGCCTCGAACTGCTGATGAGGGGTAGATTCTGGAAGGGGGAGATGCTGCTATGTGCGTGGAAGATTGTTCCCTGGATGGGCAGCCTGCTGAGTGTGTGGAGAAGGGGACAGTAGCTTCGAAAGGCAGTAAGGAAAGGCACTTAAACGACAGGGTTGCAATGGATGTGGGTGAGAGTGGAGATGGATGCTATGTGTCAAGAAAAAGAGGCGTTGATGCTATGCTAGAGGTTAATGATGAGGCTTCTGCCAATGCCTCCGAGAAAAAATTGAAACATGATGTAGGTGTTGCTTCCTCTTTTATTTCTGTATCTAAAGTAAAGGGTAATAGGAATTTCCATGCCCTCGAAAAGAAATGAAAATATTTAGCTGGAACTGCCACGGGCTTGGCAACCCGCGTGCAATTAGGGGCCTCCAAGACATGTGTTGGAGGGAAAAGCCAAATATTGTCTTTGTAATGGAGACTATGATTGATGAAAAAATTTTAAATAAAATAAAAAATCGTTGTGGTTATATGAATGGTGTTTGTTTTAGTAGTATTGGTAGATCTAAAGGGTTGGGATTATGGTGGTGGGACATTAATGTGAAAATTATCTCTTATTCTGCTCATCATATTTGTGCTCATGTGTTGGATGATAATAATGTGCCTATATAGAAAGCCGTTGGAATTTATGGATGGCCGGAACAAGCTAATAAGTGTCATACTTGGTCGGTTATGACCCAAATCAAAAGGGTCGATGATCTTCCTTGTGTGATGTTTCGTGATTTTAATGAGATTTTGAGCTTGTCTTAAAAGGAAGGTGGGGTGCCGAGAAGTGAAAGACTGATGGATGCCTTTCGGGGTGCGATTGATATTTGTGCTATGAGAGACCTTGGTTATAGAGGTAGTATTTTCACTTGGGAAAGGGGTAATTCCATGGCAACTTTTGTCAGAGAGAGGTTGGATCAGTTTCTAGCTGATGAAGGGTGGTGTTTTTTATTCCCGAATCGTGAGGTGAGACATTTACCAATCTTAAAGCCTGATCATGCTCCCATAATTTTGTCATCCGAGGCTAGTAGACATGATGAGTGGGGTGGTTCGACTTTCAAGTTTGAGCATTTTTGGTTATCTTACGAAGGCTGTAGCGGGGTGGTAAGTGACGCATGGGTAGAAGCGGCTGGTCTTGGCATTTGACAAAAAATATCCTTTTGTGGAGAAAGGCTTGCTAGTTGGGGAGTCTTAACTTTTGGGATATTAAAAAAAAGATCAAAAAGGCAGAGAAGGCTATGAAAGAGCTAAAGGATGGTGCTATGGATGGGGAAAAATTGGAGCAATGTCGTACTATCTCTATTGTGCTGGATTCTTTGTATTTATTGGAGGAGTCATATTGGTTTGCTCGGGCTCGGGCAAATGAATTATGCGATGGAGATAAAAATACAAAATATTTCCATCATAAGGCGAGTCAACGGAAGGAAAAAAAATCGGATTGTTGGATTATTTGATGACAATGGAGTGTGGAAAAATAAAAAAGTTGACATCGAAAAGCTGATAGCCGCTTATTTTGCTAAGCTCTTTGCGACAAGCTCTCCTACTGGTTTTCAGGATGCGATGGAAGGACTGGATACTGTGGTGACGGAGGAGATGAATTCATTCCTGGATAGGGAACCCACGGGGGAAGAAGTGAAGCAGACTTTATTTTAGATGCACCCTAATAAGGCCCCGGGCCCCGACGGTATGCACGCTCTATTTTTTCAGAAATTTTGGCATGTTGTTAGGATAGATATAATTGCTTATGTTCAAAAATGGTGAATGGGAATGTGGACTTAGCTGAAATAAATAACATTTGCATTGTACTTATTCCGAAATGTGATAAGCCAACATTGATTTTGGAGTTCAGACCTATAAGCTGCTGCAATGTTATTTATAAAATCATCTCTAAGGTGTTGGCAAATAAATTGAAAAAATTTCTTCGGGATGTGATATCCCCGAATCAGAGTGCTTTTGTCCCCCAGAGGCTTATTACTGATAATGCCATTGTTGCATTTGAAATTTTTCATGCTATGAAGAGAGGTAGTGAAGGGAAGGATGGCAATGTTGCGTTGAAACTTGATATGAGCAAAGCATACGATAGGGTGGAATGGGTGTTTTTGGAGCAGGTTATGATCAGTTTGAGTTTCTCGAATATGTGGATTCATCGTGTTATGCATTGTCTTAAGAGCGTTTCTTTTGCTATTAAGATAAATGGGCAGATTTCGGGTCTGTGATTCCGTCTAGAGGATTACGCCAGGGTGACCCTATTTCTCTGTACTTATTTCTTTTATGTGCGGATGCTCTTTCTACGCTAATTTCAAAGGCAGCCAATGGTAATTTAATTCATGGTGCAAGAATTTGCAGGAACGCTCCCAAGGTATCTCACTTATTTTTTGCAGATGACAGTATACTTTTTGCTAAAGAAAGTGTGCAAGAATGCTCGGTTATAGCTGATATAATCAGCAAATATGAGAGAGCTTCGGGTCAGAATGTCAATTTAAGCAAGATTGAAGTTGTTTTTAGCAAAAATGTGGAACTGGATCGAAGGCAAGAAATTATCCAGATTTTGGGTGTTAGGGAGGTTGAAAGACATGAGAAGTATCTTGGTTTGCCCACTATTATCGGTAGATCGAAAAAAGCAATTTTTGCAGGGTTGAAGGAGAGGTTGTGGAAGAAACTGCAGGGTTGGAAGGAAAAGCTATTGTCTAGACCGGGAAAAGAAGTGCTTATAAAAGCGGTGGCTCAGGCGATTCCTACGTATATGATGAGTATATTTAAAATTCTCGATGGCTTTATTGATAATTTTCACTCCATGCTTGCTAGATTTTGGTGGGGTTCTACGGAGACAACACAAAAGATGCATTGGCAACGATGGGAGAGCTTATGTCAACCTAAGGCCCTGGGAGGTTTGGGGTTTAGGGACTTAAGATGCTTTAATCAAGCTCTGTTGGCCAAGCAATTATGGAGACTTCACCATAATCCGGGTACCCTTATTCATACAATTTTGAAGGCGAAGTATTTCAAGAATTGTGACGTGCTCAAGTCCTCTTGTGGCTACGATCCAAGCTATGCTTGGAGGAGTATGTGGGGCGCGAGAGGTGTTTTACTTGAAGGTCTTAAGTGGAGAGTAGGGAATGGAAGTGTTATAAATGTGCGGGATGAAGCATGGTTACCGGGGAACTCATCGACAATTGTCCCGACTCCAATTGCAAATAGTGATATGGGGCTAAGAGTGAGTGATTTAATTGATCACAATTGTGGCGAATGGAATATGAGCATTATTTCAAGTAATTTCAACAGTGAGGATGTAGCGAAAATTCTCAAGATCCCTTTGTCTCCAAGTTGCCCCGTGGATAAAATGTTTTGGTGGGCGTCCAAGGATGGTGCATACTCGGTTAGATCAGGGTATTGGCTTTGCAAGAAGGTTCCGGCTGTTATGCAGGGGACGGGTATGAATGAGGTTTGGAAACTGATATGGTCTCTGAAATGTCCCTCAAAATTGCATCATTTCTTGTGGAGAGCTTGTAAGGGTTTTCTCGCTGTTAAAGAGAGGTTGTTCTATCGTCACATTGTATCTGAAAAGTCTTGTAGTATTTGCAATGAGCCTGAGGAGACTATCATTCACGCCACCTTTGGTTGTAAGGCAGCGAAAGAAATATGGGCTGCTAGCCCTCTCGCATCCAAGGTAAGTGCCACCCCTGATAATAGCTTCGTTGAGAGATTTTTATGGTGTTCGAAGAATGTATCGAAAGATGAGCTGCTATCTATTGCTACACTAGCTTAGGGTTTCTCTCCTATCTTCCTATTGTATGATGATATTTCTAGTTTGTCGTCTTGTTTTAGTTTTTTTTTGTTTCTCTCATATTAAGCGTGCGGGTAATACCTTAGCCCATAGTGCTGCACGATGGGATACTAGGGGATGTAATGAACGTGTTTCTCTTTGTCCTTTCGCCTAAAGTTTGACAACTTTGGCAGAAATTGACCTCCTCTAATGATAATTCGCAGCTTTGTTTCAAAAAAAAAAAAGTAAATAAATTTGTAGATGGAAATTGCTAAAATAACAACAATTGTAAGTGGTAATTATCAAATTTTCCTTATTTCAATTCAGTAAGTGAATGAATCAAATAATTTGATTAATTTCGATTTGAATGAATCCTAATACAGAGCAACTCCTGGAATTTAAACAAGCCGTTCTTCAGTTTAACTTTTCGGGATCCTACCTCGCTTTTTCTCAAAAAAAAAAAAAAAAAATGAAAAAAAAAAAAAAAGAAATCACTATTCGGAAAATCCTTTGGTGGGTAATCACATTTTGCGGAAGAATTGAGAGCAAAGAATTCGGCGCATAGTCAAAGATTTCCTGAAAATTGAACTCAATTACTCACTGCGCTAGATTGATGGTAAATTATCAATCGTTTTCTTCTTTTATTGCTCAACCATTTCGAATTCAAATTGATTATATTCTGATTTTGTTGAACCCACTGAACTCCATTGGATACGCAATTGATTATGTGGTTAGTTTTTTTATGTGTAATGGTGTTTGCTAATTTTAGAGGGAGATCTCCAATTTAGAAAACCAATTATATAATCATAAGTTTTTGTTGTTGTTGTTAGGCATCGAATATCAATATCATAATCTATGGTTTATTGTTAAATTTAATGTCAGTATAATCAATTTAGGGTTCTTGTAAAGTGTGCGATTTATGGAGCCTAATTTGATAGTTAGTCAAAATAGGCTGTTAATGTGCTGCAGTGTTTCGTTCGTATTCCTATAATGTTTAGGACAGGATTATGAAAATAGACCTTATCCTATAATATTTGGCCTGTTATAATGTTTGGCAATGATGGATATTTTGAGATTCTATGAAATTATAACAATAGCTTTTGAAAATTAAGTTAGAAAAAGAGGAATATCCCGGTCGCCTGAGCTTATTAGCTATGCACTTGAGTTGGACTTGAGCTTGGCTAGTTGCACAAAATTAATGTTTGGGAAATAATTTTGGCACACCCATTGTGAGAGCACAATTTTCTATGCTCTTCTCACATAGTTGTGTGCCAAAATCAATTTTTGGTGTGCCGCAAATTTGTTTCTTTAAGGTTCATTTGCTTCACATTTACTTTACAGTGAGACGGAGGCAAAAAGAAGGTAAAATCATTAGTGGGATCGTTGTTTTGCCTTGATTGATTTTTCCAAGAGCATTACACAGTAGTCCTTAAAACCTCAGATTAACGAAAGGCTTATTTGTTTCATTTCTTTATTTTGAGACGTTAAGTTAGCCATTTTATTGGTGTTGGGTCATAACTTCAGATATATGGAAAAACTCATTGTGCTAGTACTAAAATAAGCCATTTTCCATTTGCAGTGATAATTCAAGAAGAAGCCTTAAGTGCATTTCACGAGGTTTTGTCACCTTTAAGGCTTTAATGTATGATGTCTACTCAGGTTAACAATGTGTTTTGCTGCTTTTTCTCAATGGCATATGTAATTAATAGACACATTGTAAAGGGGCTTCACCCTTTACCCCCTGTTCTGTAGCACCTGTCCATTGTCCTCTAAAGTTTCAAGTTCCCTTGAAGATCTTAACCAATTCAGTGTTATACAGAGTATGTCAGGCTTGTTTGTCTGGCGGGGAAACTAGAGCTGGGAACGGAAATCAGGTAAAAATATAAGTTGCTCTATTGTAAATGTGTGCTTGTTAATAGATTTGATTTTATATGGCTTGTTTGGTTTAAGTAATTCATGTAGTGAAATTGATGATAACAAGTCTGCTTTATTTGTTGGGTTTTACTTTATTTTAAATCAAGAGCCACTTCTATTGAATAAGTTAAAAGAGTATTCAGTTTGTTATATTGAAACTTGAAAGGTTATGTTTCGTGATTTTTTACTCATGGAGAACTTTGTGACAGAATATAAATATAGGTTATCAAATGATTGAAGTTAAATTACAAAGCTGTTTATGGGGTGCTTCTTGTCAGCTGTTCCTCTGCAAGTTGCAAATTTTTAATTTTGTTCCTAGTTTTACTTTGAACTGAATAGACCAACTCATTAATGGAGGGAAGATAGGTTAATTTTGAGGGCTGAGAGATTGAAAATTGTTGATCCCTATAGAAATATTCCTTTTATGCTCTCATTTCAGATTTTGCTAGAACGAAGAATTTTTTCTTTTTAGAGTGGATTTGAGCTCTTACTATCTCCATCTCTCTGTCTTGCCTAAACTGATAGTTCTGGTATAATTTATAAGGTAGCTTGGTACTTTTTAATGGAATTTTAAAGTAATGACAGGGAGGGCTGTTTTGGATATATTCAATCTAATTTATCTTCACTCAAAGTCATGAAAACTGGTTTGGTCTTTTTACCTTAAAAAAATTCGTACAAAGTTAAGTTTAGGTAAGAGCCACCAAGTTCATTCTCAAAGTTTGGTATTATCCCGAGTCATTTGTTATGGGGTCAGATTTGGGGTCGTTATCTAGTTACACTTGGTATGTGAATTCCTGGAACACAAACCCAGAAGATTGTTTCGTCAAGGGAGAGTTCAAATTTGGAATTGGTGGTTGGGAACTTTAATTGATCCTATTTACCATTGCTGGAACTCTCAACTCATCTGTCAATTATTTCTCTAATTTGATCAAGCAAGGGTGTTGAGCATTCCCTTGAGTAATAGAATGCCTGAAGATTTATTATGCTGGAATCTTGAGAAAAATGCAGTGTATTCTGCATGTTCATCGAATAGGCCTACTTTTGATGATTCTTGGAAGGGAAATGAGGATGCTGCATAGAAATGGAAGAATTGTGGGAGATGGTCTGGCAAATTATGGTGCTTATTAGAGTTATCTTTCCTTGAGGCACTCAACTCGGAGGGCATTTAAATTTTTTGAACTATCATTTTTTTACTTAATTTGTGGGGACTGGGAAGTATCCTTCATGGACATGGAGAATTTTGTGACATTGATTGGGCAGTATAGGGAGCTCAAAACAAGTATGTAATTTAGAATGAAATTGTTGAGCCAGAAAAAGCTTTGAGATATACTTTGAAGTTGGATGGGCAGATGTGTGGGAGGCGTCAAAGAAGAAAACTAGCATCAGAGGCAAATTTCCAATTGCTGCTGGGTGGTTGAAGATGGATTTCAACACTGACAAACTGGGAAAAAGTGGGCTCAGGTGTGGAAACCAAGTGTGGAAACCAAGTGTGGCAGAACCCAAAAGCGGAATTTGGGGTTTGGGGATTGAAGGTGGTGGTGGAGTTGGGTTTGAGTTGGTCAGTGGTTGATAGTGATGGTCTTATGGCCAATCAATCTCTTCAAAGGTATGCAAAAAGCAGTACCTTCCTCTTGGTTGTAGATGATAATATTGGTTTAATTTCTTGATTTGATCGTCTAGTCTGGTCCTAAATGTAGAGGAATAAAGCTGCCTCTGAATTGGGCACATTTTCAACCTTGTGAAGCTGGCTAAAAGATAATGAGAGGCAAATTACCGAATTGAATTTTGGATATGGTTCTTGTTCCGATTCATAAATACTCCATATAATTCTTATTTGATGGGATTTCTCAAAAAAAAATTGTGTTCCGTGTAAATCCAAGTTATTTATGATCAGTTCAGATATAAGGGTTTCATGTACAAAGAATAAATTCCAATTGTCGAACTAACTATTTTGAGTGGATACTATAAAGAACACGATAGAGTATTTTGTATAATGGACCTTGTCGATTGTATTCAACTGATGATCAACTGAAATTTATACGTTCTCTGACTGTTGAGCAACTGTGAGCTCTGTCCAGGAATCTATTTGGGAATTTTTTGGAAAAGCCATTGAAAATTTAGGAAATAAATCTTCAGTGGAGGATTTATTGAAACAGCAGATTGAGAAACGGGAATATTATGATGAGGGTGGAAAGCCTCCAGCCTCCAGGAGGTAGAAGTGGTGGTAGCGGTGAAGGTAGGAATTGGTTTTGGTGATGTCAGTGGATCTAAGGAAGAAGTTTCTCTAGAATATTAGATGAGACTGTACAAGTTATCTTAGCAACATTTGTTTTAATCTTTGGTAAAAGAATCTTCTGAATTCTGTTACATGATTTGCTAGATTGAGTAGATTACCAGTATCAAACATGTACGTAGTATTTTTATATTTTCTATTGACATTTGTTGTAATTTATTTTCTGATTTTCTCACAATTAATGATAGACATTGGATTTATTTTTTCATTATGATAGAGCACTGGAAAAACGTTTTACTAAAGAACGTTTTAAGGCACAATTAATGATAGAGCACTGGAAAAACGTGTATTATGATAGAGAGGGAAGTAGTACTCTGTATATTGCCTTAAAAAAAAAAGGTATTGTATATGTGGGTATTTGTTGGAATTATGTAAGTGAATAGATTATTAGTAATATTTAATTGTTATAATTTTTATTTATTAATAACTAATGACATTATTAGTCAAATTTTTGCACTGGAAAAACGTTTTACTTAAGAAAATACAGAGGAGTACTCCGTATGTGTGCATAATGGATAAGCAAAACAAAACACTATAAGCATAAAAGATTGTGGATATATCTGTTTGCAAGTTGCAAGACTTGCAACTATGCAAAATATTCTCTTCTGCAAGAATCGAAATGACTTCTAGACGAGGATATATTTTTAAAAAGGCTACCTACAATTAGATTTGGTACTAACATATTTGTCATATGCTGCAAACCCATAGTTAGCCAGGCCACCATATTATTTTGTTCAATGGTTCAACTACTATGCAACTTAATTTTGCAATTTTGGGAATTCCTCTTGTTGAAAGTTCTCTAACAAGTAGCAACCAATTAAAGCAATTACTCCCGTCAAAAAAAAATTAAAATAATTATTGCCCGATTGAAACCATATGGTAGCGGATAGGTGGCTTATTATTTTGTACTTGAAATAAATGCTATGAAGTACGGAGATTTCACACTCGATCACTTGCTTTACATTCTCGTCTCACATTCTCCATGGAAATATGAATTGATAGATTGTAGTCTTACATTCACGCGTATGTTGGATGAACTCCTAATTTGATTTTTGACTCGGGACTAATTTCTTGTATAAGTAGTGTAGAATAATTCGCATTTGCTTACAAAAGTATTTATATTACTGTACAATGCTTGTTAAATTAATCGATGATAAAAGCTTAGGTTTTATAAAATTTAAATAATTGATAATCTAAGAGCTACTGAGTTAAATGTAATCCTAGTCCTTTAAGCAACGTTAATTTAGATAGAAGGATATCAAATGGAGACGAAGAGGTACAACATATAAATCATTTTGAAAATCAACAACTATATACAATTATTTCTAGTTTTTTTTTAGTTTTTAAATTTAAAACAAACAAAGATTAAACATGGATTGTCTTTTTTGAATTTATAATAAATATATAATGGTGTTTTAAAAAAAAAACAAAAGACATAAAGTGCAAAATAGCAACGCAATAAAAACAAACAAGTCCTTAAATTAATTAATTTTTAAACTTTATATGTGAAGGTGATAAAGAATAGACATAGTGAAAGTGAAATAAGGATATAGAGGAGCATTTGATTCTTCCTTTGGCCGAAACTTTTAAAAACTACTACTGTGAATCTAAAGAGAAAGCACTTATAAAAACAGCACAAGTACCATTTGCTTTAACCAATTGATGTTCATGTTTGTTGTGCATGATATTCCCCCTTCATTTACCCTTTTTATGGAACCTGCTTCTTTTTTCTGAAAAAGAAAAAAATTAGTCTATTCTTTTCAACCTATATCAAAATTTAATTTTACAGTATGAAATCTAATTGATGTATTCTTAATGATCAAGCTTTGATTAATTAGCATTACTAAAATGGTTGTCGAGATTGTCATTTGAACTAGGTGTCTCAAGCTTGTTCCTTGAATAGGTCAAGTGATCAAAGCATATATGCTTGACCATTAACATCCACATATGTACTACTATAATGTATTAATTACTCCTTCCTATGTGCAAAAGTATAGATATATAAGGCAATTTTGTCGATCTGCCAAAAAAATTAATATTAAATAATAATCGTTGGTCAATACAATGGTGTACAGCCATGTACGCTGTATAGATTTGAAAAAAATCGTATAAAAGGTACATAATAATGCATGAAGTTCTTTTGTGAATCTAATAAATAACAAATTATATACGTAGTATAAACTAACCCACTAAACTGACTGTTTAGAGAGGCTACATCCAAATATTCATTGGTTAAGACTGACATGTCATAAGAACTTATAAAAGAGCGAAGCCATCTAAAACCCTTCATTTTGAAACCAATAAAGTCAGGCTTATTTTGGGTTTGTATCACTGGATAAGCCAATTCTAAAATTTCAAAATTCACAATATATAATTTTCTTAACAGCTATATATAATCAGTTTTTCGATCACTTTCTTCAAATTTCTACTTGTTTTGTACTTCGAATATTATTTACCAAAATTTATTGCTAATGATGGATAAGACGATAAAATTTCCAAATAAGTTGGGGTAGCTAGCTACAATTAGTATAACGTGCATCATAAGTTTTTAATTTGTTGTAAGGAAATCTTGAACATCAAATATCACATAGTCCAATTTTTACGGGATAGGCAATTGAAATTAATGTGAGGGAACGTGTTAAGAAATTTAATCTCCTGACACCTATAGTAGGGAGGATTCAACCTTACTACCTCAAGGTTACAACTTAAAAGGCGATGAATGTCAATTTAACCAAATCAAGCTTTGCTTATTGGTAGTATATTGGTACATATGCCAGCCCTTATTCTCATACAAACGTTTGTTCTCATACAAACCTAAGAAATGATAATAAGATATATCCTTGAGCTTTTGGGGTATTGTATTTGTAAATGCATAAAAATACACAATTCAAAGCAAAAGTGTAGTGTTGGTATTGGGAACTTAGCATTATAAAGCTAGGAGCCTTGTCTCCATGTCACGTTCCAAACCAGCTAACATCTTCATTCTATATTTCTCTTCCTTTTCTCTCTCCTCTAGGTTCGAGAAAGTGTAACAAAATCCCTTAAACCTATAAAGGAAATAATATATCCAACCTTCCTCCAAGACAAGTTTAGACCAATTCCTCTTATGAAGAAAGCAACAATTCCTTGCCTTATTTGCTTTTCCTAGCTACTTCAATTCATTTCCTCTCTTATAAGTTATCCATCTTAACATAAATTTAAAACTCTAAACACAAAATCTTAGACTAATTAAGTAATTAATCTAAGATTAGTCTTGCACAATTGTTTCAATTCACATCATCATGCAATCATAATAAAGCTTTTGCTCTTCATCATTGGTCCTTCTTCCTCTTTAATTATATATATAAACTTGTATATATACAAACAAAGAGGAGGAGAACAAGTTAAAGAAGTTGGAATATGATGAGTAGTAGGAGATTTAATAGGTCTATTAAAGGCTTATTAAGATCAATAAGCTTATTGTGGCTTTCTTTGGTTGGAGTTTTATTAGCTAGTAGAGGAACAACGACGATGGCGACAACAACAAGTCCTATAAACAAGCATAATGTGAATCATGAAGTGCTCACAGTTGGAAGAGAGAAGCACTTAGCTCGCTCAGAGGTGAATATAAACTACATGAGCAAAAGAAAAGTACCTAATGGTCCTGATCCTATACATAACAGGTGTGTTCGTAGCTGCTAGATAGTTTTAATTTTAAAATTGTTATTCAATTATATCTCCATCATTTCGTTAAATCTGTTTTTTATAATTTGTTGAGAACGGTAAATTAGATAAAACTCTAGTTAGACGGGTTTCTTATTTTGTATAATTCATTTCCTTACTATAAAAAAAAGTCTAAAATTTGCTTTTATATATATTTCATGCATGGAAAACAAAACCAAAAAATACATAAATATTCATGTCTTTGTTTGTCGTCCCTATATATTATTCAATCATTAGACACTGAGAGAAAATTTATCCATGTAATTTTTAATTTTAAATTCTCTAATTCACAAAATGTTAACGTTAATTGTAGACTTGATGTAGTAATAACGTAATTTTTTTTTTGTTGGTTTAAAATTTTCTTTTTTTTTTTTTTTTTTTTTTTTTTTTTGAAACTTAGTTTGTTCCTAACTACTCGATCTGTATTAGGAAATTTCTAGGATTTTGTAAGTATTGTAAAGCACTCCCAAAACCTTAGAAAAAAAAGGGCTTTTAAATACATATACACAATACACCCAATAAAAATAACCTAAGTACATGTATTACAATATACAAGAATTAGTGTATACCTTATCTTGAGAAGCATTTTTTGATATGTTTGTTTCATCTACGTCCTAATAAAGAAAATAAAGAATCTTGGCACACTTCACTTCCATATCTCTAAATATTCTTTCAAGAAAAAAGCAAGTATTCCCTACTCAAAACAACTAGCTCCTTACTTTGTTATTGTTGTGCGACAGCGGAAGCAAAGGTCGTAAACAAACAAGAAAACAATAAAGAAATTCAATGCAAACAATAAGAACAACACCAAGAATTTACGTGGTTCACTATCGATGTGATAGCTACGTCCACGGGCACCGAGATCGAATGATTTCACTATAAACTGGCAAAGATTACAAAGATTACAATGAAGAACTTAATCACTCAAAGTATTCTCTCTCTTGTGTTTCTCTCTCCGTTACCCTAATAATGATAATAGGAAGTTTATATAGTAGTGATTCCTAATTAAGATATACTTAGGTTACAATATCACAATATGATAAATATTAAATTCGTAATCGCTGAAAAAACCCAGATCGCCCGGTCGGGCGAAGGCCCGCCCGATCGGGCGCGAGAACACGTCTTTTCCAACAACCGAAGTACTCCAAAAAACCCCTTCCGCCCGGCCCGATCGGGCAATGTCCGCCCGATCGGGCGAAGGCTCGCCCGGTCGGGCGAAAGCTCGCCCGGTCGGGCGCGCGAGAGCAGCTTCTTCAACGAATTTGCCAGGCACCTCTTCTTTTTCCGCCCGGTCAGACCGGGTAATGTCCGCCCGATCGGGCGGACAAAGCAACGAAGTACGAGTCACCTAATACTTATCAACAATCTCCACCTTGACGAGAACTCGTAGTCAGCAAGCGACCCCATCAAGACATAGTGAAAAACATCTCAAGCCAAACCCGATGCAAGACTCATGCATAAGCCATACATCCCGATAAGTCTTCAACCAAGACCCATCACATACTCGTCTCCAAGTATAACAACTCATAATGCTCCACCTGCATCACAAGCCCCGGGCAAGCTCCACCTTAAGGCCAACACACCTACACCAGGAGCTCCCCAACTTCGCCCCTCAGGGCCTACTACATCACGTAGTAATCAATATTTAACAAGTCTAAGCAATGTTTAAACTTGCTAAACGGAACAGGCTTAGTGAAGAAATCAGCCGGGTTGTCAGCAGTCCCAATCTTCTTCACCTTAATCCTCTTGTCAGTACGCAAGAAATGATACCTGACATCAATGTGCTTCGTCCGATCATGGTGTACTTGATCTTTAGCTAAGCAAATCGCACTTAGACTATCACAATACACTGTAGCAAAATCCTGTGCAATACCCAGTTCACCTACTAGGCCTTTGAGCCAAATAGACTCCTTAGCTGCAGAAGTTAGAGCCATATACTCAGCTTCAGTAGTTGACAACGTAACTGATGACTGCAATGTAGACTTCCAACTAACCACAGAACCACCCAAAGTGAACACATAACCAGTCACAGACCTCCTGGTATCCACATCAGCTGCATAATCAGAATCACTGTACCCAGTGACCAAGCATTCCTTACCATTCCCGTACACAAGACCAATATCAGTTGTCCCTCTCAGGTAGCGAAAAATCCTTTTCACCCCTTGCCAGTGTTCCCTCCCAGGTCGAGCCATAAACCTGCTTACAACACTAACAGCATGCGCAATATCCGGCCTAGTACAGACCATAGCATACATCAAACAACCAACCGCGTTTGCATATGGAACTCTAGACATATAAGACAACTCCTCCTCTGATTGAGGTGACATAGACAAAGACAACTTACAACTAACAGTAGTTGGCGTACTTATAGGCTTCGATTTTTCCATCCCAAAACGAGACAAAATCTTTTCAATGTAGCTTTTCTGAGTCAAGAAAAGCTTACCTCTAGCCCGATCCCTGTAGATCTCCATACCCAAAATCTTCCTAGCTGCACCCAAGTCTTTCATGTCAAACTCCGAGTTAAGCATCTCCTTTAATCTAGCAATATCAGATTTATTCTTTGTGGCAACCAACATGTCATCAACATATAACAAAAGATAAATCATGGAACCATTATCCAGCTTACTATGATACACACAGCAATCATATGAATTCCTGTCAAAACCTTGTGAAACCATAAAAGAATCAAACCTTTTGTACCACTGTCGGGGGGATTGCTTAAGTCCATACAATGACTTTAGCAATCTGCAGGCATAGTGTTCCTTTCCAGGAACTTCGAATCCTTCGGGCTGCTTCATCAGAATCTCCTCCTCCAAATCGCCATGAAGGAAAGCCGTTTTAACATCCAACTGCTCCAGCTCAAGATCAAAATGTGCTACAATTGACAATAACACACGGATAGAAGTATGTCGAACCACAGGTGAGAATATCTCAACAAAATCAACCCCTTCTACCTGACTGAACCCCTTAGCAACTAGCCTAGCCTTAAAACGTATTTGCTCAGTTTCCGACAACCCTTCTTTCTTCTTGTAAATCCATTTACAACCCACAAGCTTCCTCCCTTCCGGTACCTTTACCAGTTCCCACACTCTGTTCTTGTAAAGAGACTGCATCTCTTCACCCATTGCGGCAAGCCATTGCGCAGACTCACTACAACTAATTGCTTGTTTATATGTGGCAGGTTCAAATGACTCTACATCATCAGCTACACTCAATGCATAACCTGTCATCGCATCAACACAGCAATTTCTTCCCTCCATCTCTTCAATCAATCTAACAGGCTTCTTGATAACTCGTTTAGGCATCTCAAGAATGGTGTCAGGTTGACTAGATGACCCCTGATTAGATTGCTCCACCTCATCCCCAGAGTTAGAATGAGTAGGAGTAATCTCAGGTTCAGGAGTACCCGGCACTGGAACATCAGCATCATCATCAATATATTGTACCCGAGGTAAATCAGCAATGGTAGACTGATGTACCTCAAGTACCCCATCTGTCTGTAATAAATTGTCTCCTTCCCTTCTCAAATCTGAAATCTCTGCATTTTTAATTGAATACATGGTGTTTTCATCGAAAGTAACATCCCTACTAAGAATGACCCGACCCTCCGAAGGTGAAAAAATTCTAAACCCCTTCACACCATCCCCGTACCCAACAAAACACCCCTTCTTGGCTCGTGGATCCAGCTTACCCTCAATAACATGATAATAAGCAACACAACCAAAAATCTTCAAATTCGAAAAATTAGGCAACTTACCACTCCAGATCTCAAACGGAATCTTGGAATCAATTCCAGAATGAGGACCCCTATTAATGACATAACAAGCTGTTAACACAGCTTCACTCCAGTACCTCCTCCCAAGCCCTGCATTAGAGAGCATGCATCGAACTCTCTCTAGCAGTGTCTGATTAACCCGTTCTGCTACACCGTTCTGCTGTGGTGTCTTCCTGACAGTATGATGCCGACCTATACCCTCATCTGCACAGAACTGATTAAACTCGTCTTTGCAAAACTCTAGCCCATTGTCCGTTCGTAGCTTCTTGATCTTCCTTCCTTGTCGATTTTCCACCAAAGCTTTCCATTGCTTGAAAACTTTGAAGGCCTCATCCTTTGACTTAAGCAACCTAAGCCATGTGTATCGGGACTTGTCATCAACAAATGACACAAAATAGTGGTAACCTCCCATACCTTCAACTCTAGATGGACCCCAGCAATCTGAATGGATGTAATCGAGCACTGCATCAGTAATGTGAGCACCCTTGCTGAACTTTGACCTGTGTTTCTTACCAAACACACAATGCTCACAAAATTCAAGGTTGGCAACCTTGACCCCGGATAGAAGACCCCTCTTGGACAATAGCTGCATCCCCTTCTCCCCCATATGACCAAGCCTCATGTGCCAAATCTTAGTCATCTCCTGGTGAGATACAGATGCGCAAACCGCAGAACTAGGCAGTGTAACACCCTCAAAAACATAGAGGGTGTTCCTTTTGATACCCTTAAGTACCAACTCAGAACCTCTGAAAATACACAACTCCCCATCTGAAAACACACCATTGTACCCCAAGTCATCCAGGGTACCCAATGAAATCAGATTCTTTCCTAAAGCAGGAACATGCCGTACATTAGTCAAAGTTAACCTCCGCCCATCAACAGTCCTCAACCTCATGGAACCAATACCTGTGACCTTACATGGAGCATTGTTACCGACTATAACCATGCCCCCATTGCGAGGTTCATATGTATCAAACCAATCTCGACGTGGACACATATGGAACGAACACCCTGAATCTAGAACCCAGTTATCAGATAAATCATCAGACCTAGCAGAACTGACTAATGCTAAATCTTCCTCTGAATTATAGCTCTCATTCGGTTTCTCTTCAACTACAGCAGCCTGGGACTTGTTTTTCCTCACCGGACAATTATTCCTAAAGTGACCCGGTTCTTTACAGTAATAACATGTTTTAGTAGTAGTTTTACTAGATCCATCCTTGCCGTTTCCAGCACCCGACCCAGCATTGTTCCCCTTGTTAAACCCCTTATTCTTTTTAGACTTTCCGGACTTAACAAACAACCCACTACCATTATCCCCATTATCACTCGTAGCTTTCATTCTGAGTTCCCTAGTATGAAGTGCTGCCTTCACTTCTTCTAAGGTTATAGAATCCTTACCAACAACAAAAGACTCTACAAAATTCTCAAAGCTAGACGGTAGAGATACAAGTAAAATCAACGCAGCATCCTCATCATCAATTTTAACATCTAAATTACGTAAATCAAGCAAAATAGAGTTAAGTTTTTCTAGATGTTCCCGTAAGGAAGTACCTGACTGCATCCGGAGGCTAAACAACCGCTGTTTCAGTAATAATTTGTTGGTCAACGACTTAGTCATATACAATGACTCCAGCTTCAGCCACAATCCAGCCGCCGTTTCCTGATCAGCCACCTCCGTGATGATTTGATCATCAAGACTAAGTAATATGGTAGAGTGTGCCTTCTCTTCCATAACTTCTAACTGCGAGTCAGTCGGTCCGTCTCCTGACTCCGAAGTAGTACTCTTTGGAGCCAACGGACGCCATATCTGCTGTTGTTTTAACAGAGCCTTCATCTTAATTTGCCATAGCCCGAAACTATTTTTCCCGGTAAACTTCTCAATTCTTATTGTTGAATCTCCTGCCATTGTTATCTTCAAGAAACTCTCCAAGGATTGAACCTGAGCTCTTGATACCAATTGTTGTGCGACAGCGGAAGCAAAGGTCGTAAACAAACAAGAAAACAATAAAGAAATTCAATGCAAACAATAAGAACAACACCAAGAATTTACGTGGTTCACTATCGATGTGATAGCTACGTCCACGGGCACCGAGATCGAATGATTTCACTATAAACTGGCAAAGATTACAAAGATTACAATGAAGAACTTAATCACTCAAAGTATTCTCTCTCTTGTGTTTCTCTCTCCGTTACCCTAATAATGATAATAGGAAGTTTATATAGTAGTGATTCCTAATTAAGATATACTTAGGTTACAATATCACAATATGATAAATATTAAATTCGTAATCGCTGAAAAAACCCAGATCGCCCGGTCGGGCGAAGGCCCGCCCGATCGGGCGCGAGAACACGTCTTTTCCAACAACCGAAGTACTCCAAAAAACCCCTTCCGCCCGGCCCGATCGGGCAATGTCCGCCCGATCGGGCGAAGGCTCGCCCGGTCGGGCGAAAGCTCGCCCGGTCGGGCGCGCGAGAGCAGCTTCTTCAACGAATTTGCCAGGCACCTCTTCTTTTTCCGCCCGATCAGACCGGGTAATGTCCGCCCGATCGGGCGGACAAAGCAACGAAGTACGAGTCACCTAATACTTATCAACAGTTATCATGTTTATAGAAGGCTTGCATGATTTTCCTTAGAAAAAAGGGATAGAATGGCTTGCATGAATTTCTTTAGCTATTTTAATTCTAACATGATTTTACTATATCTATTCATCTCATTCTTGCGTGCGATTGCCTCCTTGCATAGTACAATATCGACGAGGGTAGGGGGAAATACAATAGAAGATATTATCAAGAAATTCTTTGATGTTCCAAAAATTGTTGCTTGAGGCATTATTAACCTATTAACTAAACTCGCATTGTCTTGTTAATTATGTATATCGCCTCAAAATTTAAAATCATTACCTAATAGTAATAAATAGGGTGTTTTGTCAGAAACTACCTAATACAACCTAAAATTATTTATGAGAAACTACCTAATAAAAAAACTATTGTAAGAAACTACCTTATAAAAGATAAAATGTTATAAGGTACTACCTTTGGCCGAATTTCCACCATTAATCTAATTTTAAGGCGTTAACTTACCTCAAAACACCCCCGAAACAACAACAAAAGGTTGTTTTTCAAGGTGGTAAGGTTATTTTTGGGGTGGTTAGAAGATATTTCGAGTTGTTGAGGGTGGTTTGATTTCGTGATTCGGGATGTTGATTTTTGAGGTTAGAGGTGGTGGGTTTGGGATTAGATGGTGGTTTTGGCTTGGTGAAGGCAATTTTAAGTAGATTGTGTTGGTTTTAGGGTGAAAGCGGTGGTTTTGGGGGTGCTTTGAGGTGGGTCAATGGTGGATTTCCGACAGAGGTAGTATTTTACAATATTTAACATTTTGTTAAATAGTTTCTTACAACATTATGGCTTTATTAGGTAGTTTTTGACAAAAAATCCTAATAAATAAAGTCTATGATTAAATAAATTCCTCCTACAAAAGATACAGTCGCAAAGGTGGTGCGTGTTATCCCTCAAATTCAAATTTCACCAAACTAAGCAAATGAAAAGCAATGTTCTTGTATCTATATGCTTTATTCCAACTTCTATTTAAGTTTGCATAAAGTTAATTAACATATAATTTTGTTCCACTTGAACCTTTTTGCAGAAACTCTTTTTTTTTTTTTTAGTTCTACCATCTCTTTTTTTCTTCTTTATAATATCTTAAACAAGTACCTGTTAGCTAAGTAATGATTTTAGTGAAAAAAAGACATTAAATTAAAGAGATTATTGTCTGAACAGGCATCTTCTTTAAAGTGACTTACAACAACACTTAGCATTTTGAAGCTGCTTTTGTTGCCTTATCAAAGTAGATAGCCTGTCTTTTCAGTCTCTGTAAGTATCAACTAATTAACAAATGTACTTTTTAATTACGGATCCTTCAGTTTGTACTTTGATTTACAGAATATATTATGGTATAACTAGTGAACAAATCCTTCTTAATTATCTTTTTGACGGACTATTTATCCATAATTTAATATTTTAATTTTACTGGTCTTTTCTCTGTTTTGCTTTTATTGAACTCGTTTCGACTTTCATAATTTATCATATTCTAAGAAAAAATATACGGAGTACTCATTTAAGATTTTATTGGAAGTAATATATTAGCCAGCGTGAAAAATGAATATAGTCAAATAAAAACGAACTACTACTTAAGTAGTATATATTATATTTATATATGCATTATTTGTTTTCTTTAGTTTGCTAGCATCTTCTTTTGAAAATTATAAATAAACAAAATCAGACATGCTTTTTTACATCTCTCTTTATTTAGACCCTTAATACAAGATATACTTTGAGCAGGTTTGAATTTGAAAAGCTAGTCAAATATTGCTTCTTTAATTTTGTACAACTCCTTTAATAAGCAAACAACTTATAGTGGTCACTGGCCACATCACAACGTACTGAAGTGTAAGATTTACCTCTTCTTTGTTCAACTTTCTATCTGCGCCTAGGTCTACGTACACACACTCGGGTGGTGCATATTGCATCAATGTGTGGTGTACGCCTAGGTCTACGTACATACACTCGGGTGCGTGGTGCATATTGTGTCAATGTGCGTGGTGCTTGTTAGCCTATTAGGTATGCATTGGTTGCGTGAGGTACGTACTTGGCGCATGATGTGCCTGGTGCGTATATCTAGCGGCATCCACTGCACTGGTGTGTGAAAACACACATATCTAGCCATTGATAATTTTACCTTCCTTAGGTTCCGTCATCTATATACCAAAATTTGCAACTCTAGCTTACCTTGATTAGGAAATTTCTTTTTATTATTATCACTGATTAATTAATATTCTTACATATTGATGAAGTCAGAAAAAAGAGTATTAGGAAACAATGGTAGAAGAGATTGGAGCCTCACTATGAGGAGTATATCTCATTGGGTATGTGTCACACAACTAATCACAAATTCACTCATCACTAGTGTCCAATCCTTTTTTACCTTACAAGTTACAATCATAAAGGCTTAATATGTGAGAAAATTCTCACTTTAAGTACATATAAAATTAACCTCGTCAAAGAGTGACCCAACTCAGGCCAAGAGACTCTTAAATTTAAAAGCTACTTCGTCTATGACTAGTATTTAATTATTTTATTTCCCGCCCTAATTATTATTTAATTGACAATAAACTTTCATAAAAGTAATACATTTTATTAATTAAATACATCCTATCAACTCTTTTTATCCCTTAAAATTTATGAAATTTTACATATATGTTCACATAGTCATGTACAATTTGCATATCTTCCTTAGCTTATTGAACTTGGTAGTATGATCTTAAATCTAATCCATTATTTTATTTCTCCTTTGTTTAGGCGAGCCGGAAATTCTAGACGACCACCAGGACAAGCTTAGGGTATGTACAAGAGACTGAGGAGCATCCTCCATTATATATAGTTCACTAAAATGATGAAGATCAAGTGCATATCATTTTATTTTCAACATAATTGTAGGAGTATTATTTTTGTAAAATGGGAGAGAAAATGTCATGAAAGTCATCAGTAAGAAAAGTTATGTTCTATGATCCAGTATCTTAATATAGGTTGTGAGGTTGAGAAGTTACCTTAATTTGGAAGAATAAAAATTATTAAGGTTCTTTTCAAGAAATTCTCACACATCTCTCCCGGCCCACATTTGTATATGACTTAAAATGATACTCCTAACTTATTCCATTGAATAAAGTGGTCAAATAATACTTAACGGTAAAATGTATAATTAATTTATGAGTGTGTTAGAATTTCTTATAAGCATGCATGGCAGATAGTCTCACAATATTTTATGAAGTTAATGTTTTAGGTAAAAATAGGGCGTACCTATGATCTACGGGCACTTATGACGGCCTTAATTTTTACAAGAAAATAAAAAGTATTACATCAATAAAAGATATGCAAATGGCACTTTTAAACAATATAATTCAATCTACAAAAACCAACTTCTGGCCTAAAATTTACTACTCTAGATTACTACAATACCTGCAAAATGAATCCAAGCCTCCAGTGTGACCTAAACCAGAGCTTCCAACGCCAAATTTAAGTCCAAGCATTACATATTTAGCTTTAAATTTAGCTCTTAGAGCAAGCTTCGGTTCCCGCTGCTTTGTCTTGGGTTCAATGCTCAGCTCATTACACTTCTTACTCCTTAAATTTAGCTCTTAGAGCAAGCTTCGGTTCCCGCTGCTTTGTCTTGGGTTCAATGCTCAGCTCATTACACTTCTTACTCCTAAAAGATCGGCAAATGCAAGTTTATCTGCTAGATAAACGAATTTTTGATAATCTAGTGGCAATTATGTAAATATATTGAAAAAGTGTGGTTATTTATTCAATGCTATTGGTGAGTTGTTCAATTAGTGCTTGCAACTTGCATTTAGGAAATCACACATGTACCCATCAACTAGTACATGAAAATACGCATGTACCGCTCCACTGGTACTTGAACAGACGATTATACCCCTAGATAAACAAAATTATCTAGGGAATTAACTGGGCACAACTCTTAAAATATTACATATTTAAAAATAAGTTTTTGTATGGCTTGAGTACAAGTTCTGATAATGGTTATTCAAGTAGATTGACGACTAACAAAAAATCATACAAAAATACGTAATCCTCTCTTGAAAAAAAGGACCTCTCTTCCTATCAAGTTGCCCTCCCGATTCTACCGGACCGCTCTCGCCGTTTCTCGGCTGCTATCCTTAGCAATGGCAGAAAAACTTATTTCCCGAAACTCATAATTGAATTTAGAAGATGACGGTTGTGGTGTTGTAGATCTTGGAGGAATTTTAAAATCAGATCCTTCAAAAAATATAGAATTGCTGATTCTTGGGAAATTGCTCACTAAAAGGTCAGGCCCTTCAGTCTCGAGGCTTTCAAACGAACAATGCTAAAAGTATGGGCACCATCGCAAAAACTGGTAATAATTAATTAGGGCTTTGGGATCGAATCTTTTGGCTTTCCAATTTTTTCATTACAGGGATAAGGAAAAGGTTTTTAATGGTCGACATGGTGTTTTGATAACTCTTTTATTGTGTTAAAAGAAGTGGAAGAAGAGTGAGCAACCTAAACAGGTTGTGTTGAATTCATCTCCCTTTTGGGTGCGAAGTAAGGGGGCTCTCCTTCAATTGTCACTCTGACGAACATGTTTGAGCGTTGGTTGCAGGGATGGGGGAATTAGTAGAAATTGAAGAAGATTTAATTTCCTCGGGCTGGATCAATTCAGGCATGAAAGACTGGTGCCAAATGTCACAAAACCGCTGCGATGTGTCCATCGAATTATTGATAGGAAGGGACATGAGATTAGATGATAATTGAATTTGCTCATGAGTGTCTCCCCTTTTTCTGTTATGTTTGCGGATTCATGGGCCACTCCGAGAAGGACTTCTATGCAATATCAGAGGAGGAAAATAATTAAGAAAGGATTGGGTTGGGAGACCTGGCTTAAGGCCTTGCCATGGAAGGGACGACTTAAGGAGGTTAAGAAAATCAATGCCCTCCTTTCCTGTAAGAAGTCTCTATTTGTTACAAAGGACAAAGAGTCACCACTTACAATTGCACCTGATTTCTGAACTTGACCCTCAGGTGACAAGTGATGATATGCAGGACAATGCTGTAATTCTAAACCTTTGCAATGTGGAGCTAGTAACACATGTAGAGAAAGCAGTAACCCCTGAAACCTTTATCTTTGGTACTCATGCTGATAAAGAGGACCAAACTAAATGTTGGGGTTTGGTGAGTCCGACTCACCGCGGAAACAAACCCCTACCCGAGGAACCACTCGCAATATTTAAAATCATAAAGCATAAATAAATAATCACAAAGAAAAGATAACGAATCTTACCCTCAAAGCGAGCTTCGCCCAAAAACCGGGGCTCTTACTTGAAAGCTACGAGCACGTCAAGCGTCGCGCCTCCGACGGTATCCACCCACAAAAAAGCGAACACAACTTTAAGGTCTACTACCTGGGGGTTAGCGAGGTCCGACCAAAACCCGAGTGTTATATGAGTTTAATAGTTTTCCAAAAATTATGGAATGCTCTTTTTAACTCCCACTCAAGCATCATTTCCAATGCCCCAAGTTGGGTATTTATAGGGAATGATGGGAGTATGAAAATCTCTCCCATCAATGTGAGACAATGAGATTTTCCCATTTTATTTTAAAGCTAAAATAAAATTATTAAGCAAACTAGTAATAAATCAACAAGTGTCAAGCATACATGAGAGAGTAGGTGAGGACCACTTGGAGATGGGGACCAAACTTGCTCCCCACTCTCTCCCTCACCTTGTGCCACATGGAAACCCCACTTACTCCCATATTCCAAGCTTCCCCTTATTCACGGCCCTATGGCCCGAGCCAAGTCACGAGCCAAGCCCGAGCCCGACCTGAGCCCAGCCCGCACCTGGCCCGAGCCCATATCGCACCAGCTGCTGCTGTGGCGCGGTGCGGCTGCGGCTGCGGCTGCTGCTGTGCCTAGCCGCGGCTGGCCGTGGCTGCCAGCACGGTGCGCCAGCTCGTCTTGCCTCTAGCATTCGAATGCTCGGGGTACTCCGATGCTAGGGGTATTTTCGGGAATATTGTTGATTTATTATTATTTTGCGCGTTTCGTCTTTTATCATTTAGACTCGATTTCCGACAATCGGTTTCGACGCTCTAAGCTCGAATTACCGACGTCTAATTATTTAACACTCGGGTGACGAATTAATTTCTTCCGAATTAATTCGTCGAGTTGGTTCGCATATATTTGCTTGGGTGTGACCCGAAGGGTTCAGTCAAGATTAAGCTGTAATATTAATTATATTAATATTACTAATCGTAAGCGGCCTCCACCCAGGCATTCCGATCACTTGACCTTACTGAATATATTAGCTCTCTAATAATTCTGAACCCGCTATCAGAATAATACACTTGTTCGAAGGACACTATTCCTTTCACTAAAATCAAAACCTGGAAAAAAAAAAAGGACAGAAAACACTCCCAAGGGGGTGGAAAATCTAGTGACTTGAACCTTTTGCAGAAAAGGAGCTTTGGAGCCAATAAGTTGGAAGTAAATGAAGGTGGGGGTTTGGAGAAGCGTCTTAAACAAAACTTTCTTGACTAGACAGACTATATTATGTTGGTGGAGGTTGGATTAGACCAACACCGCCCATCATCATGAATCTCTTATGTTGAAACTATAGGGGGATGGTAACCCCCTATCAGTTCGTCAGCTCCGGCGATGGAGCAAGTCTTCTAAACCCGACATGATCTTTTTATCGAAAACTATAATAAATAAAATTGAAGTTGAGAAGTTAAAAGAGAATTTTGGCTTTCAAAACGCTTTCGGTGTTTCTAATAGAGGCAACTCGGGTGGTTTTGTCTATATTGTAAGGAGGAAGTGGATTTTAACCTTGTTTCTTTCTCACAAATTCACATTTGTAGGGATGTTCACAGAACCGGGGTGTTTTTTTTGGTGGTTTGTAGGTGTGTACAGGTGGCCAAAAGAGGAGGAGAGGCATAAAACTTGGTCTCTCATTAGTCACTTGTGTGAAGATGATGTACCTATAATTATAGGGGGGATTTCAATGAAATTCTCATCTATAGTGAGAAGGAGGGGGAGTTGACAGAGTACGTAAGGAGATGGAACCATTCAAAGAGGTGGTGGATGCTTGCAAGCTTCGAGACCTTGGGTTTGAAGGTCAATGTTATACTTAGGAGAGGGGTGATTCAGAGGGGTCTATGGTGCGAGAAAGACTAGACCGTTTTCTGGCTTCTCAATCTTGGCTTGATCTATTTCAAAGGACCTATGTCAAACACTTGGTATGGTATAAGTCTGACCATAGCACTATTATTCTTCGCCACAAAGTTGCATCTAAGGAGAAAAAGAAAAGGAAAAAATCTTTCAAGTTTGAAACTAGCTGCTAGAAGAGAAATATAATTTGGTTGTGAAGGAGGTGTGGGATGAAGCTTGTGGCCTAGCTATTGTTGACAAAATTGTTGTTTTTGGGCGTGGTTTAATTGAATGGAGTGGTGCGAATTATGATAATTTAAGTAAGCAAATAGATGATTCGGAGAAGCTGCTCCATATTACGCAACAAAAACCCATCTACAAGGATAGCTGTGCCGAATGTACTACTCTTAAACGTAAGTTGGATGATCTTAATGACAAACATGGCTTACTGTCTTATTGGTATTTGATTTCTAGAGTTTCGGAGGTTTCGGGATGGTAATAAAAATACAAAGTATTTTTACCACAAGGCTTCTCAAAGAAAAAAATGAAACCGTATCAAAGGGCTCTTTGACAATTCTACTACTTGGTAAACGGGGTCAAAGGAGATAGTGCACATCATCAGTGGTTACTATGAGGGTCTGTTTTTAACAAATAATCCGTCCCCGATTGATATTATGAGGCACCTTAAGCTGTGAGTTTGACGAGGGGTGAAGACTAGGTCGTTGACTTATCCTCCCTCGATCAAACTAAATTTATAAACACTTAACAAACCTAAATATAAGTATAGAGGCAAGTCAAGGGTCGAATCCAAAGGAACGGTAATGTTCAAGCACTCTCAATTATGCGCTTAAGCTAGGTCAAAGTCTAAGGATAAAAGGTAAACACTAACCAA